TACAGTGCCCTTTCAAAACATTATGAAAATAAGCATTATTTTGGTCACCATCACAAATCTACCTCAGGCAAGATTTCTGGATAAGGATGTGTTCTTGAGAATCAAGCTTCCTATAAATATCTCTTATAACCTTGATTTTGTTAGCCACCAAAACATCTACTTTCTCCCTTAATAACTAACTAGCAATGCGCCAATCGAGTTCAGCTCATCCTTACTAGCCTCTACCTCAAAAGAACTTTCCCAAAAACCTTAGGATTCTACACCTTTAGCCTCCCTATTAGAATCTTAAATTTTTCCTTTATCACATAATCACTTCTCCCTTCTACCAAAATACTCCTCTAAACTTCTTCCACGAACCCCACAAAGTCTTTATGGACGAACCAACAGTCGAGAAACCTAAATAGTTTAGGGCCTCATTCATCATTGTTAATTACCAGCCAAATAGGGAAATGGTTCGAGATTTATCTCTTCCCAATCCTTTGGATGACGATGCCCCATCTATCTAACAAACCATCACATAATAGAAAACGATCAAGGTGGCTCATGGACTTACCATCACAAATATACCAAGAAAAGGAGTTGCCCTTATAAAACAAGTCAATAAGTTTAGCCTCCTCAATGAACTCTAAAAATAGATTCATCTCAGAGGACCTATTAACAAGAGCACTATTTTTCCTCTCCCTGTTGCAAACGATAGAGTTAAAATTCTTTTCCACACACCGTTCCTCATCCCCGAATTTCCTTTTTAACTCAATAATCTTCGTCCACAATGCTCTCATCTTGTTTAAATAACATGAAGAATAAATATTCATAAAGTAATATAACAAATCCTTTTAACTCAATAATCTCCTTCCACAATGCTCTCATCTTGTTTAAATAACATGAAGAATAAATATTCATAAAGTAATAAAACAAATCCTTCAATTAGACTTTCAGCCCCAAAAAGCCATTAGCTTTGAACGAGAATATTGGATCGAAGACTCCTTCCTTCCAAATGGTTAGTAGACCTCTCGAAAACCCTACATATTCTGAAAAAGACCACCCACCTTGTGATTCGGCCAGAAGCTACTTGCCGAAGTTTCATCGATATGCTTCAATTTCGATTCCTGAACAAAGAATATGGCTGCCTTACCATCCTCTATTCTAACTCCAATTCTGTATCTCTTAACCATGTTTCCTCCACCTCTAATATTCAGAGAACCTATAATCATTTTCCCCAATTTTTTGACACCTTCGACGCTACCATCCTTTTGTTATCATTGACTTCCATCTCATCTATCTTTTTCTTATAATCCCTACCCTTCTCCTTAAATACTACCCCTAATTTGGAAATAACTCTCCAAATTTTACTACCAACGTTTGATTCCATGTTAGACCAAAATCTAGAATTCCCCTGACGAATGTCAAAGTCATTTGTAGATTCACAACACAACACATCCCCACCTGAAAAACTAGATTCAACTTCTTACAGAGGGTTAGAAACTTTAACATGAGATATAAAAAGCGACAATTAAGAAGGAAAAGCCAAATTTTTAACAATAGGTTCCTCAATATGAGAAAAATGAAGAGTTAGGAGAAACTCCTATCTTAATTCTGAACTTTGAAGGAACATTAGAAGAAATGAGCCTATAATACTCAAGCCCAACATCCAAGCCCACTTCCCCTACCTCAGGACCACCTAAAAGAAAAACATGATCATTATGCTCCACCGAAGCAAAACAGGTGTCCCCCTTCGGGGCCACATCAGCTGAAAAGTTATCCTCATTAGCCTCTTCTACCCTATCGTTGTTTGATAGGACTTCAAAAGTGATAGGACCAACTAGACTCTGACATTATAAACCCTCTCTAGCTTCCTTAACAACCAAGTCAAACACCACTTTTTTGACTTTCACCTTCTTAGAGTCGATATTTTCCCTTTCCTTCTTTGAAAATAAATAAAGTTCAGTGGCGACTCTATTAAGTTCATCCTGCGAGCGTGCGATTATGCTTCATGAGCGTCATGTTCTCATTTTTTGTGGTATGACACACATATTCATCATTTAATTATGCAATGAGACTCTCAACTTCAACTAGACTCATATGCATGTGGTACCATATCATCATCAATTGGTTTACTCAAAAATCAGATTCACCCTGCTCGAACCTCGAATCCACCCTGATCGGCTTTGGGACAAGTCACCAATCCACCCTGCTCGAATTTACAACTTGCCTTTATCGTCAACAACGACATCATGAATGCATGTCACAACACATCAATGCAACAACAACATAATGTTTAAAGCCCCTATCCGACAATAAACAAAACATGCATTGACCCAATGATAATAGTTCCCATCCTAAACTATCATCCCACAACACATACTCACAATTCGACGACATCAATCATGCTCATACATAAACATATTATCATCACAAATCACATAAATTATCACAACAACGTTATCATGTATGCTCAACAATTATTCATGATCATATTCAACATCATATTCATCGACAACATTCAATTAATCGTAATAATCCATAACACCGATTAAAATCATGCTATATCATTAAAACAACATCAAACAACATCTAGTAGTAGCCAAAAAATTCATAAAAATCGAAAAATTGAATTCTACAACTCTTCACAAACAAACAACCCAATTGTGCAACTCCCAAGCTCATGACGCCCTGGGCGTCACAAGCATGACGCCCATCACCAATATCCCAAAAGCAACCCGTCACCACTGCGACGCTCTACATCAATGCGACCAGGAGCCATTGAGGGTTACCCATTAGCTTTTCAAAGGCATGACGCCCTGGAGGTCACCAAGCTGACACCTTTTAGCGGCTTGCAGCAACGTCATAAACGCGATTTTGAAGGTGGAGACTCATGGGATCTCCCAAAATTACTTCAAAAACTTTAATTTCGACCCATAATACATCATACATGGTATAATACATTCATAACAGATTAATTCCATGATTTTAACACATTTAGTCACTTAATCCCATATTATCATGTTCATCTCAAAAGCTTCAAAACTCAACAATGGTGAACATGCCACAACAACATCAAAATATAATTTATCCACATATTAGTGCTCGAATTTCAACATACAAAACAACATATACATCAAAACATCATCAAAATCCTAATTTCCCTATTAGAGGTTAAGAACTCTTCAATTCTACCCCTCAACCATATACCCATTATTGAATTAATCCTTTCTGTTACCTGGCTTTCCTAGTAGCAATAACAAAAAACTCTAGTCTTTTATTGTTCTTCCCTTCTCTCTAAAGTTCTAACCTTCTATCTCCCTTGTGCCTCTAATCCTTTTTTCACGTACTGACAAAAATTTCTAAACCTAGGTTATCTCTTAACCTTATATAATTGGGGTAATCTAGTCATAATTATAATTTTCTCCCTTACTAACAATTACTCTTACTCTTTCCTACTATATATTTCTCTTAATTTATAAATTGAACCAAACTCCCTATTTTCTCATTTTAATTAAATAAATCTCATAAAATAGTATTGTTTTAATTATCAAAATAAATTTTAATTATTTTAAATAAATTCTACTAACCTCTACTTACTCTTTTCACCCCTACCTTAAGGTCACACACCCTCATTCTTCAAATTAACTCAATTATCACATATAATAATTAAATTAAAATATAATTAAATCAATTAAAATAATAACTCAAAATCTGGGGTGTTATGATTAAGTTTCTCTTGGTTGTATTTTGTGTTGGAGGTTACTCCCTCCGTCTCATATTATAAGCAAATTTTATTTTTTAGATAGATTGAATAATTAATGTATTTGATCTCTCTCTATATATATATATCAGATACATTAATCATTTAATATATCTAAAAAGATTCAATGTATCTAAAATATAAAATTTGCTTATAATATGAGACGGAGGGAGTATTTTGTATTTACTTTATTAACATCTTTTTCTTTTCGATCTTGTCAAAGAAGAAGAAGTTGTAATGTGAATTTATATTTGATTTATACATTTTATATTGCTCATGCTTTTGTGCAATGTGTTTAACCTCATTAACATCAATCTCTTTTTGATTTTGTCAAAGAAGAAGTTGTAATGTGTATATAGATTTGAATTATACATTTTATAATGCTTATGTTTTTGTGCAAATCAAGGAAAACGTTAATCAAACTATAAATAAAACATCGGTAGGAACGACAAAAGAATAATCGATAGTTACGATCTAAACATCTTTGCTTAAAAGTTATTTGATATATCGCATTTTAATCTATAAATTATCACTCTTCACTTCAATAAAGTCTATATTTTAAAGAAAGAAACTCATGATCAAAGGAAAAGAAAAAAGATAGTAAATGAATATTTATTTCAACATAAAAAGAAAATCAAGTATTTATGATATTCTCCTAACCGACAAATATAGTAATGGTGAGACATACTAACAACAAATAAAAATTATTAATTAAAATAATATAATTTATAAAATAAAAATCATCTCCATATTGAAATGAATAAACTTTACTATTTTCCTTCTCTTTTTGTATTTAAAAATAAATTAAGTAGATAAATATTTTTAAAATAGGATATTTTGAAGGAAAAAGTTTTTTTCCTAAAAAATCCATCAATTTTTATTTTTGTTGGTCGGTTGGGAAGTAAGAGAAGGTAAATATATAAAAAAAAAAAAATACCAACGGCATTCCTTGAATTTCGGGGAGGGAATGAAATAAAAATTCAAAAATCAAAACGCTCAACGGTCATTATCCAGGCTGTAATAATCCTAACAATAAAAAAAATGGCTGTCAAACCAGGGTAACCAACTCTAGTTAATCCCTAACCATACATTTCAAATTTAGTTCCTTTTCGCTCTATTATATAATAACCTCTTCCATTTCTCATTCATCATCACAATTTTCACAAAGGAGAAGCGTCTTAATAAACGCAACTCCTCTTCCATTTTCTTCATCCTTTCTTCAACCTTTCTACCTTTTTCCGTTAATTTTTCAGCGAAAATGAGGGAGTGCATTTCAATCCACATCGGTCAAGCTGGTATCCAAGTCGGAAACGCTTGCTGGGAGCTTTACTGTCTCGAACATGGCATTCAGGTACCATATCGAATCAATTAGGGTTTTGAATTTTTTTTCAATTTTTTCATGTTTTAATCGTAGATCTTCAATTTCTGTGTTTGAATTCTTGATTTGTTGATGTAATTGTTTGTGTTCTTGGTTGATTTATCGGTGTTGATTTTGTTTTACAGCCTGATGGCCAGATGCCCGGGGATAAAACTGTTGGAGGAGGAGATGATGCCTTCAATACGTTTTTCAGCGAAACCGGTGCCGGAAAGCACGTTCCACGCGCCGTCTTTGTAGATCTTGAACCTACCGTCATTGATGAGGTTAGGACCGGTGCTTACCGTCAGCTCTTCCATCCTGAGCAACTCATCAGCGGGAAAGAGGATGCTGCCAACAATTTCGCCCGTGGACATTACACCAGTGAGTTTCCGTTTTTTGATTTCGGTTTTGTATCTTGTTATGATGTTTATTTGAATTTGAACTTGAATTCGAATCTGATATGTGGATTTGATCTATGTGTTTCAGTTGGGAAGGAGATTGTTGATCTGTGTCTTGATAGAATCAGGAAGCTGGCTGATAACTGCACAGGTCTTCAAGGTTTTCTTGTATTCAATGCTGTTGGTGGTGGAACCGGATCTGGTTTAGGTTCTCTATTGTTGGAGCGTCTTTCTGTTGATTACGGAAAAAAATCCAAGTTGGGATTCACCGTTTATCCATCTCCCCAGGTTTCAACTTCTGTTGTTGAACCCTATAACAGTGTCCTCTCAACCCATTCCCTCCTTGAACACACAGATGTTGCTGTCCTTCTCGACAATGAAGCCATCTATGACATATGCAGGCGTTCTCTTGATATCGAGCGTCCCACTTACACCAACCTCAATCGCCTTGTCTCTCAGGTAGCTATATCTCAAGATTGTATCTCGAAATGAAAATTGGAATTTGTTTGATTTGAATTGTGTAACAGATATTGATGTTTTTGATTTGATTTTGCAGGTGATTTCATCCCTCACTGCCTCTTTGAGGTTTGATGGTGCCCTTAATGTTGATGTTACAGAGTTTCAAACCAACTTGGTTCCTTACCCTAGGATCCATTTCATGCTTTCCTCATATGCTCCTGTTATCTCCGCTGAAAAAGCTTATCATGAGCAGCTCTCTGTTGCTGAGATCACCAACAGTGCTTTTGAACCTTCTTCCATGATGGCAAAGTGCGACCCTCGCCATGGAAAATACATGGCTTGTTGTTTGATGTACCGTGGTGATGTTGTGCCTAAAGATGTGAATGCTGCTGTTGCAACCATCAAGACCAAGAGGACCATTCAGTTTGTTGATTGGTGTCCAACTGGGTTCAAGTGTGGTATCAATTATCAGCCTCCAACTGTTGTTCCTGGTGGTGATCTTGCTAAGGTTCAGAGGGCTGTGTGTATGATCTCTAATTCTACCAGTGTTGCTGAGGTGTTTTCGAGGATTGATCATAAGTTTGATCTTATGTATGCCAAGCGTGCTTTTGTGCATTGGTATGTTGGTGAGGGTATGGAGGAAGGAGAATTCTCTGAGGCTCGTGAGGATCTTGCTGCACTTGAGAAGGATTATGAAGAGGTTGGTGCTGAGTCTGGTGATGGAGATGATGGTGAAGGAGATGAAGATTACTAGATCTTGTTTGGCTTGTTAAGTGTTGTGCAATGTGCTCTTTTGCTTTTTGTTGTCATGAACAATTATGTGTTGATTTTGAATGCTTGTAATCACTTGTGCTGTGCTTAGCACAAAAAATTAAATCTGCACTATATTGCTGGGAATTTGCTCTTTTCATTTATCTTCTACATTCAGTTTTAATCTTGTTTCATTAAGCTGTGCTGGAAGGGACAAATGTGAATGACTCCCAAGATCAATTTAGCTTTACCTAGGATGAAATCATACATGAACACAGCATCATCATACATATAATGTTTTCTTTCGGGTAAAAACTTGAATGCAAAACATGTTTAAAAATTTAGCTAGGAATTGCAAAAGTGTTGTTGTTCAGACAAGTCGTGTTATTTAAGGAAATTTTAAATTACTATTTGAATCTTTTGTCAATGGAATAACTGGTACATACTCCTAAAAACGGGGGAGAATCCCCTCCCCTCCTACTGCTATATGAGAGATTGGTTTGAAATTCAAAAAAAATTTAGGTTACAAAATAACTTTACTAAAATTTGTAGATCGTAATATGATTGAGATCACGAGGGGTCAGAATTTGGAAAATAGAAAGAAAGTATTTGGAAAATAGAAAGAAAATGAATATTAAATATGTGCATTTTGATCACGAGGTTACAAAATAACTGGACTATTATTATTAAATTAAATATGCAATTTTGATCCTCATTCATATTTTGATGTACATCTTGAATTTTGTTTACACGAGGCAATAAATTATTTCTTCCAATTTTTTTTGAGATTGTGACAATTCCAATAACTAGTGAGGTGCATTACTTATTGGAAAAATCTTTCTAGGAGTGAATTCAGTCCTTCTTAATACTGGATTCTCTCTATTTGGCGTAGTTCAAAAGGGATTTTTAAGTTTTCTTTTCAAGAGAGTATTCAAGTCTCATTTTGCTATTTGTCTTAAGTGGAGAGCATCTAAGTCCCAAGTCCCAATTTGCGGTTTGTCTTAAAGTGGAGCGCATCCAAATCCCAATGTTTTGCGGTTAATGTCTATTCTAAGTGTATTATTTGAAAAGAGAGCAATGTGAAATGATATCATTATGCATAAAGGGCATATATGCGGTGAAGTGTGGTGTAATTTTGTGAATTTTAATTCAGCTTTCTCTAGTGTTAGAGAATTGGTGTATCCCGTCTTCGTTTAGATGGGTCAGCTGATTGCCTTGGTTTCATTAGCTTTATCTTTCAAATGGACCTAATTGATATACTCCTCTTAGGCCTGAATTTTATTTGCTTTCAACCTAAGAAGGGTTGCTAGTAAGCAAGATAAAATCCTAGTGCCAAATGCTTGGTGTGAAAAATGAGGTTTAATGTCTCCATGAGCCCTTCCTAGAGACATCTCTAATCATTGTCCTTCGCAATGCCAATTATATGTAGGGGCCTAAAACTTTTAGATTTAATAATCATTGGTTTTGTAATTGAAAGTTTAATGAGGTGGTTCATTCTAGTTAGAACAATTCTCTTTTGCTAGGGTGGAAACCGTTTGTTTCTAAAGAGAAACTCAAGTCTCTAAAAGATGAGTTGAAAGTTTAGAACAACGAGGTCTTTAGTACTATGGCTTATCACATTGTTTGTTTGAGAGAGGAGATTGAGAGTCTGGAATTAACAATGGATTAAGGAGTCACCCAACAAACTGACTTAGCTAATAGGTTGAAGACGATAACATATCTTTTGTTGTTACTTAGAGTTAAAAAATCTCAATTGTTCCAAAGGTCTAAAGATAAGAGGTTAAAGAAAAGTGATGTCAATATAGGTTTCTTTCACCCTTGTGTTAAGTATAGAAGTATGAGAAATTCTATTTTGACTCTTCGAGTTGGTGATGCTTGGTTGGAGGGAGTTGTTGAGATTAGTTAGGAGGTGACACGATTTTTCACCCACCAATTTCATGAACCTCTTTCTGATCGACTTCAGTTGGATGTGGTGACTCTCTCTCTCTCTCTCTCTCTCTCACACACACACACACACATAATCAATTTCTTACCTCTCTGTTATTACCCTTCAAGATAAACCTAACGGTCTCTTAATGTGAAGGGAATAAGAGTCCTAGTCATGATGTGTTCAATTTCTCTTTTTTAAAAGGAGATTTTGGCCTCTTATTAAAGAAAGAGGACACAAATTTATTGTTTGGATAGTTTCACTGCATGACTTCTCTCTCTTTCTCTCTCTCACATATTTTCTCCTCTTATTTTGAGTTGCCTACCAACTAGTGAGATTTCTGACCGATCTCTTTGGTTGAATCTCTATATAACCTTGTGGAAAAAGTGTTAGCGACAAGGTTAGCCAAAATCATGGATAAACCCATTCCGTCTAACAATAAGCTTTTCTTAATGGAAACCTTTTGGTTGATGGGGGTAGTCACTATTGATGAATGGTTGACATTGCTAAGAAAACCAAGAAGTACCTTATCCTTAAGTTGAATTTTGAGAAGTCCTATGACTCTTTCAGTTGGATATTTTTGGATTATATACTTGTTAGGTTTGGTTTCAATAAAAAACATTGTCATTGGATGTATGCTTATGTGTTTGCGGAAAATCTTGTTGTCCTGACTAATGGATCCCTGAACGAGGAGATAACTATTCAAAGGAGTTTGAAGCAAGAAAACCAACTAACCCTTTTTCTCTTTCTGTTGGTGGTGAAAGAGCTTATTGGGATCCTAAGAAGGGTTGTGAAGTTGCATCTTTTGATTGGTTTTAGAGTGTGTAGTTCAGATTTAGTCATATCCCACTTACAATATGTCGATAATATTTTTATCACAAAAAATGTTTCAATAGAGAATCTTTAGACTACTAAATATGTTCTTTGTGGTTTTTGAGCTTGATTTCGGTCTCATGATTAATTTTGCTAAGAAATGTCTTATTAGGATAAATGTTGACCCCATTTTCATAAATTTAACTAGTGACTTTCTTCATTGTTATCACCAATCCCTCTCCTTAAACATATTGATCTTCCAATGGGGGATAATCTCCGCCTTGAGGCCACTTGAGAACGGTTAGTTTCATTCCTTTTGAGAGACTTGCTTTCTTGGAAGCACATGTATGTTAGTCAGGGGTCCAGTGATTCTTCTTAATTCATTTTTAATGCAATCTCTATTTTCTTCTCGTCTTTCCTCAAAATGCCAACCAAGGTGTGAATGAGAATATTTAAGAATCATAATAGGTTCTTGTAGGGTGGGGCTATTGGTATTGGTAAGTTTTCTTGGTTGAGATGGTCTAAAGTCTGCAAACTCAAGAAGAGATGTGGTCTTAGTGTTCGACCTTCGTTTAATTAGTCTAAAATTATTAGACAAGTGGCGTTGGAGGTTTCACAAGCCTTTGATCTCTAGAGAGATATCTTGTCTTCTATATATATGTGATCTTGTTGTTTCCTCTCTTCTAAGGGTTGACCTTCTATCCTCAGGACTGCTCCCACTCTGTGGAAAAAGGGTCTCTCTTCTATGATATAAATCTAGTGATAATTCCGATTGGTTTAATGAATGATTAAGTTCAAACTCGGGCTCGAGTATGTTTGCCTATTTTTGGATGACCCGTGTATGAGATAAGATTCCTCTTAGAATCACTTTCCACATACTTTATTCTATTTCCAACCCAAAAAAGGGGAAGATGGATGAGATGAATTTTTTGGTTGATAGGACTTTGAGTTTTGACTTTCTGTGGAGGAGATCTCTCTTTGACTATGAGTAAGATTTGACACAACAATATGGACTATTTGGAAATCCCAAAACAATTTCAATTTTACAGGTAACCAGCTTAACGAAGAGAACATGAAAGATTTAAACATTTATCTTATTTGAAAATGGTATTTTGGTAGATCACCGCCTTATTCTTGTATTTTTTTAACTGGTTTACGAATTGTATACTTTGCTTAAGTCAATAGTGGTTTTGAGAGTTACGACCTGTTCTCTTAGAGTAGTGGTCTTAAGTTGTTAGAGGTTGTTATGTTGATGTTGGTTCTTCCGGAGCTCTAGCTTGATTTTCGCTGGTGGTGTTAGGGTCATCAAAATTTTGTCCATTTAAATAAAAAATATAGATGTCTTGATTTTCGCTGGTGGTGTTAGGGTCATCAAAATTTTGTCCATTTAAATAAAAAATATAGATGTCCTGAACATAATTAGCAAATTTGTTTAAAACACCAATAACAATATCAATTCAAAGTACAAATTTTACAACATAATCGAAAATTGAATGGTGATCCATGCCAAAACCATAGCATTACAACACAATTTTGTCCATTTAAATAAAAAGTACAGATGTCACTATGAATGAACATAATTCGCAAATTCTTCAAAACACCAATAACAATATCAATTCAAAGAATAAATTTTACAACATAATCAAAAATTGAATGGATGCCAAAACCATAGCATTACATCGTATCCACTATGCATATAATAGATTAGAAGCCAAAAGTTTTAAAAGAGTACTGTTGATGAAATTTTCTTTGTTCTCAGAATTAGTGTGATTTGCATCGATCTGAACCATGTGTGATAGCTCTTGCTAGTTAAGGGAGAAGAAACAATAACTAGAGATGATAGCTCTTACTAGTTAAGATAGCAGAAACAAGAAAGTTGGATTTTCAATCAGATACCAATAATATAGATTCACAGAGTTTATCGAAAAGTCAATGTAGTTTCAGAGTGCCATTTATGTTGCTTCAAGAATGAAACGGTGAATAAGATCAATGATTAAATGGGAATAACTGTTTTTGGAAGAAATGCAACAATGACTACCAAAACTCATATGAGCTCTAATACCATGTTGCCAAGAAGAAGAAAATGGAAATGTGAACTCATTCTCATTGATGGTAAAAAGAGAAAGTACATTATTACACTACAAAAAGACTTCAAGCCTTATATGTAAAACTGTACAGGGTAGTAAGTTTCTAACTACCTAACAAAAATGTAACTAACTATTTACCAAACTACTAACATTAGCTAAAACTAATCTAAGAGTAATAAAACTGATACCTATTATTTACCATAGTAAGATAGAGAAATCACTTGATGAAAAATATGTAAAAGAAATCAAAATTCAAGGACTAGGAACATGGAAAAATGAGTTATAAAAACCTTGTACTATGCCATGATAGATTTAGCACAATGCCATGTTATTTTCATTTTGGCTTGGTTGTTAGCAATAATGCCAATAAACATTACACCATAAACTTAAAACTTAAAACTTAGAAGGCTTTGGCCACATTTAACACCACCTTTTATTTCATTTCCTGTATAAGTGATGCTTAAAATGTAATCACTTTATTCTATTCACAGAAAGTGAAAAAAACTCGGTAAGGACTTCTCCTTTCCAGCAAAGAATTCGGATCAAAAAACCAAGTAAAATATTTCAAATGCGCCCAAGCTTTTCAACCAGACGATTCTCTATCTCGGTTCTCTTTTTCATTACAGCAGCATACTTGGAAAACAACTCCTGATCCCCAGCACTAGCTGAAAGCTTGCAGCTTAAAGATGTTTTCTCCAATTTATCCATGTACATATTTGATATAGGTAAGAAACCACCCTTCTTGTTGCAAAGCCAGCCGTGAGCCGCTCTCACTGCAGCTCCAAGAGAAGCTGAATCTGTCATCAAGTTGAAGAATTTTCAATTTGATTAGTTGAGTTCATCACTTGCAAATAAGGACAGGGCAACAAGATCGCCATTCTGATGAATAAATAAAGTTGCAGAGAGATGGAATAATTCATTATAGGAATCATTAAAGTGGTGCAACTGAATTTATAAGTATCTTAACATAATATATAAACATGCACATAGATGGTTAAAGAAACTTTCACATCACTAATCAGTAATCACTTATACTCAAGCAGAGATTGCCAATTTTTGCTTACCAGGTCTCTGAACTGTATAAACATCACTGCCAAAAATTGAAGCTATTGAGCTGAGGATGCACTGATTGGCCGATGCTCCACCAGTGGCTATAATTCGCTTTGGTGGAGAAGGCATACCGAATCTTTCAGCATGGGCGCGCATTGAGAGAAATTGACCCTCAATTAATCCTCGTACCTGCAAATATAGCTTATTGTTCAATAGAAATTTTTTATCTAGGATTTCAACGATACAAATGAGTTGCCAGGTATTTCTTAACCTCAGATGGAGGATCAAACTCCTTCACTTCCTGCTCCTTCATTCCATCCAATGCGCCTGAGAAATTTTCTATAACGTAGCGGTGGTAACCAACTGGGACCATAAAAAAGTTGTTAGCAAATCCTTGAGTAAAGCAAAGTCAATTTGGTGTTGAGTACAAGTAATTTAATAGGAGGGAAAATTAATCGGCGACCTGGAAGAGGAGGTAGAATTTCGTGCTCCTTGTAGTAGAAACCTAACTTTCCATCTGTTAACAAAAAAAGAATTGTAAGATCCCCGATTGAAATGTGGATAACATAGCATAAATTTCATGACACGCACCATTCAAAGGTTGTGTCTGCTGCAGAAATTTATTGAAAGTATCCCAAGAATTTTCTGCGTAACGGTTACGCACATCTGACAAATGAGATAGAGTCCAGAATTAGAAACTAGCAGAATTCTTTTAAGTGGGATGTATATGCAAATAAGCAATAAGTGTACCAGACACTAAGGATAACAAGACTACCTTCTCGGGTAAGGGACCCATTTTTGTAGACTAACATTACCATGTAACCTTCTGCATCAACTGGACTAGGGAAGACATGTCCCTCTAGCCCTGGATTGGGATCTTTAGTGATCATAAATACCTGAGAGACAAGTTAGAATATATTATAACTAAAAGTAATGGCATTAGTTTGCATTTTAAAAAGTGGCTTGTATGCTAATATGGAAACATGTAATGGGATTTAGCAACAAATAGTCAGCATTCCTCCATTGGTGATATATGACGCTGATGTCATTTCTTAGGTTTCTTAGTACACAATTATGATAGACCAACACAAGTAAGGTAACTTAAGACTCAGTATCATAACATACAGTATCACTAGTGCCGAGGCTGATGGCGAGATCTCCTGGAATATTCAGTGTCAGACCTGCAGATATGGATGATAGTTTTAGGACAAGCAGAGAAAAATAGGGGTAACATGTGTATTTGGTTATGAATGTAAAATGATTTATGTTCATATGCATTCATTTAAAAGTGATTGAATAGTTTCAAAGCTAAAATTCATCTGTAGAGGCAAAGACTCCAAATTCTAGCATCAAGTTAGAATCAATTTCAAAGGCAAAATCTGTTCTACCATATAACAACTAAACATGTCAAAATCAATTTTACACCTTCTCGAATCAATTTTTCCTCATCCAAAAGTGGAATCAAACATACATTACAAGACTTATTTTTTTTAATTTTCATTTTCCCTAGAGGGAGGTTTATTTTCACCTTTGAACTTTGACTGAAGCATATAAGTAAATCTCACTAGAAAGATAATATGAAATCAGACATAAAGCTGTAGGACATGTATTGAAAAAAATTATAGCACCTGCCACACTGTTAGGGTTGTCTCCTGACCATTGAACGACGAGGCAATCCTTGTTAAAGTGATACCTAATGTGAAACAAATAAACTTCAGTTATCACAGCTGCAACAAGTGGATGGAGAACTATAGCAGTTTCATACTGGAATTTACACATAGATTTCCCCATGCATTCAATAGCAAATCAATCATCAGACAACATGGACCATTTTGGTCAGCAAGTGGCTGTGAGACGATTTCACATCCTTACAATACAACATTGTTTCTCAAACTTGTTGGAGACAGCTAGCAAACAAATAGCTCTTATCTCATTAAAAAAGTTGTTAAAAGTGCAGAATATACACATTTATATTTTACCAAAAAATGTATTTTAACCACTTCATGTAGGAGATACATAGTGTAGCATCTATTAGGTTGGCAATTATATGAGTGCTAACTATTTCTTTAACAATGCATGTATTAGTATGCATGCATGCAACAAACTCATTTGATTTTGCTTGCATTCAAAAGGAGAAACAAACACACACAAAACAAACCTCTCTACAAAATATGAAGCAATATTTCCAGCAACAGCATATGCAGGAGCCAAATCTCCAAGTTTTGACGCCAAACCCGGGGCAGTTGCCTGCAACAGCCAATACAATTCATATATTAAAATTGATCAAACATGAACATAGAAATATCAGCTAGTACATGAAAAACCAATTCAATAACATTTAAGGAGAAATTAGCAACACTAAAAACCTCAAGTGCAACTTTCGACCAAGCCTTTTCTTTAATATCCATTAAATTCATGCCTGCACCATCAGAATGATCAATAGCAGCATAACCACCAATAAAAACCGATGCCATGAACGAGCTAACAAGCGAGATCCTTTCCGTGTTATTATAAACCTCAGGCTGATGATCAAATATTTTCTTAATCTGAGGTCCCGTAAACCTCTCATATGCGCGCGACCCAGTCACTTTCGCCAACTCCAAAGCACCCCCACAAGTCTTCTCTATCGCCCTACACTCAACCGTTGTACTACTATCCATCCAAATCGGCGATTCCTTAATCGAAAAAGCATTTTCAAGCTGTTCCAACAACGGTTTCTTATGATCCAACGATGACAGTATCTTAGAACTACCATTTTTCCAATAAACACTACCATGCTGTTGTCCACTTCCAGAAACAGCAGAAATTTTGGAAAAATCCAAATTTGATTTTGAAAGCTTTTGAAAAATGAGATCAAGCGCTTCCACCCACATTAACGTGGGAGAAACGATTCTTCCATTGATAGATTGGTCTCTGTAAACACCATCTTTGGTTTTGTAATGAGGTAAATCTGAATCAAAGTGAATCAATTCCGAAGCAATGATACTGAGATTTGAATCCAAGACTGTTGCCTTTAACGATCTTCAAATACAAAAAAATCAAATTTTAATTTCATGCAATGAATATGAAATCGAATCGAAAATTGAAAATTGTGGGAATAAAAATGTGATCTTACTGAGTTGAACTATCGAATCCGAGGAAATAAGAACCATTGGGAAGTGAAAATTCCGCCATTGTTGCGAGCTTCAATACTCGTTTTCGTGTTTCTGAATAGAAAATTTGCTATGATTATTTATAGATAAAACAATAAATAATCGTAAATAAGAACTGATATTTTTTTAATTATTCATTCGCTAAAATAGTAATAATTTATTACACTCTTATCCTTAATTTTGTTGAAGAAAAAAAGAGAGGTCAAAAGTGATTTTGTTGTGTGAATTATATATAAATAAATTTTGGTTTGGTTGGATGATAAGAAATTAATTTTAAATAAAACAATTTGTTTTTTATTCATTTTTTTGGCTCGATCAAACAAATTTTTTTTTTAATTTGGGATTATCATTGAACACATACTTAAGATAGAAATATCTTTTCATATAAGAAAAGAGAAAAAAAATTGTCAATCAACGTATATTGCATCATATTTTTATTTGACATTATAATATATTTTGATTGAATGTTTAGGTAATATTTTTTTACACTAATCATACACTACCTTTAAATTCATAAGAAAAAAAAAAATTTGATTTTTGAAAAAGAATGAAATTCATGATCGTAATAATCTGTTGTAGAATTATATTTCACTACAGAATTCAAACTTGTCCTCAAGTGTGACTCACTTGTTTTTATTGTTAAGAATTTTTTAATACATTTTAAATACTTTTTTATAATTATGCAAAATTATTTAAATTTTCTTAATTTTCGGAGATACATATTTATACGCACTTATTTTTAAATAAACGTTGAAATATTTCGAAAATGTATCTCTGAAACAACTTAAAACATTCAATACATCCCACCATAACCATTTACATTTAAATTGTATCAGAAATACATTTCAAAAATGTATCAGAACATGTATTTCATATTATAAATTATTTATATGTGTTCAGATGAAATATAACGTACAATTGAAAAAAAATAAAGAGACATACATAATTCCAGATGGACCATAAATGCCATAGAAAAATAAAATAGTAATATATATCAAAATTGTCTTATAATCAAGATCTAGAATGTACCATAAATGCCATAGAAAAATAAAATAGTAATATATATCAAAATTGTCTTATAATCAAGATCTAGAATGTAGTAATATCGTCAAAGTAAAGTACAAACCATAATACTACAACAAAATAATAAGAGACTACTACTTTGTGTGTCTGTCAACCTCTAATCTACCTCATCTACCTGCTCTACCTCCTCGGCCATCAATTCTCTCAGTCTTCCGACGATGTCTCCGGTACAACAATACTCCATATGCCTTAGTCATGATGACATCTAAGACTCGCCTGACACTAAACCTATCATAGAAGATACCTTCGTCAATGTCTGCCCATGCAATCTCCACTATGCGATGACACCTAGACAAGACATGATTAGCATGATCTAGCTGAGCCTACTCCTTCTATAATATCTGCTGATGAGCTGGTCTCGACAAGTCTCCTGGAGCAGCATGCCCCATGTACGAATGTGACACCCTGAAGAACCATCAGATGTACCCTTCGACGTAACTCCAGCCGCTCTCACCTACGGTAGCTTGTGCCTCCTTCGGTACCAGATAACTTTCATAATCATCAAACATCTCCTCTATCTATCTACGTATCAAGGCAGGAAAGCAGAGACAGTAAGGTGTCTAGGAATGGTCTGAACGTAGTCGGACTGTCGCATGACGCGCTCGAAAAGATAAGGAGCAGTAAGACGCGATTCATAGGCCAACCATCTAGAGTATAACATTATCTCGTCAAATGGCTGCGTGTGACAGTGATCGACATAGTTGTTGAAGTGCATGTCCTCATAAATTAAATGATCAAATTAGATTCTGTAACGCTCGGTCGCCTGGTTCTATCTAAGCGAGATAAAAACAGTAATATGAGTCATATCCTTAGTGTACTCAGGCACACTCGCCCGGTCAGAGATGCACGAGAAGTGTTGGAGGATCCAAGTCTGAAATGAAAAGTTTATAACACACGAATCATCAAATAATGACTTTGCAAATAAGAAATAAAAATAAAAAAACCATTCAAAGACCAATAACTATTACCATCAGTAGTGTCCCGCTGCCTGTGACCTGCTTCGTCTTCCACATACAACCCTCTCTCAACTTCGAATGCAAGTAGATCAAAAAAACTGATCCCCAAATATACTCATGGATCCGCTCGAAATACAAGAAGTACTTTAGATAGATGACGTTAGTATAAGTGGCCCTCTTGTCCACAAAAATCGCAGTGCCAACAAAAAAAAGCAGGTATACTCTCAAAGCATGCGATCAATTGCTCAGTTTTAGAGAGAACACTTTGTTGCTTGGGATTCAAGTTACATACATTCATTAAAAAAAAGTCCTTTTTTTCATTACAAAGTTATCAAGATTCATTACACAAATTAAGATCATTATTAAAAAAAAAAATGTAACTTTGGCTTGCAGTTGACTTTGCTCAACTTTTGACTTTTTGGTCAATTAGTTGACCAAAGTCAACTTTCTACCCCTAACCCTAGATCCTACTATTTCTTGCACAAGTAATCTTTTTGTGGTGCCACAAGTTCTTCAAAACATCATGCTTTGCCAAAATCCACCTAAGCATATCTTGCCAAAGCCATTACCAAGCATAAGTTCAACCCTGTAATACATCAATATATATCACCAAGCAAACTAAAACATTGCCATCGCTATAATGCAAATCATGCTTTCATAAAAAATATAGCACACTAAGCATTCCATTCATGAGCAAGGATGCATGAGCTTAATTAAATCATGTTATTTGAGCATGCTACTTCAACTAGTTCAAGTGGTATCAACATTATGCATAATTCTAATTGCACTATCTGTTTCCTACATTAACTCATACTCATGGCATTCAAAGCATCACATCCTGACTTTTCTTCTAACAGCCTGCAATATCACTATACCCTTGCTTTTATTTCATGTGCAGACCAAAACTTGCATCAACTCAGTTCATCATCATTAATATCATTTAAAAAGGGACTTGCAAACATGAATAAAAATGTAACATTTTAGTTCATAACATGATTCATTGATTTGAATTCAAACAGGTCCATTAACAAACAACAAACATACATGACATTCAAACCTAATTCAACAAGATAAATCAAACAAATTCATTTGGCATCAACAACAAGCAATTACTAATGAAATTATTGACAGCAGCTACTAACATTTCACCGACTGCATCATTAACGTTAATAGAAAATTTCCATTAAACTAACTGCATTGAACAACTAACTACAAGCCAATTCTAACCTAACTAACTTCATTCTAATCACAACTAACCCTAACCTCTCTAACTAACTACTAACTCAAGTTTTCTAATCAACTGCACCAATTTCAAACTGACAGAATTCAGTACCACATTAAAAAAACAAATTAACAATTCAACATCAAAATTTAACAAAACAGATCAACGTAACTAACTATCCATAACAGATTTCCAGCTCAGCGTAACTAACTTAATCACATTTACACTGCTAACCCTAAACCTCTGACTAACTGCGAACTATATTCTAATTTCAAAGTGATTTGAGTTGAATTTCAATTTAAAGGGAATTTCCAACTTAATTCGGAGGAGGAACCTCTATATAATCCAATCTCATACTCAATTCACAGAACCTTCAATCACATTCATCACTTTTCACCTTAGAGTCATCAACACTCACTGAAAAATTCTCAAACACACACTCTCTTTCTGATCCTCCTTCAACTTCAACCTCTCACCCTCACCACACGCTCCTTGTGATAGCTTCAACATTTGAAGTTCTACACAGTGGAGCTTTGAGCCTCTATCACTCTCAATATCTCTGGTTTTTCACGCACAAAGCAACAATCACAACAAGAATATGACGTAGCAATCCTACGGACCAGGAGTGGAGAAGAAGAAGAAGCATAAGTACAATGAAAGAGCAAAGGTTGAAGCGAGCTTACCTCTGGTTTTTCGTTGCACTCTCCAACACCATCTCCTTCAATTTTCAACATCTACCCGAGTAATCCTCTACTTTGTAGGTCGGTGCTCTTGATCTCTTCTTCTCCTTGTTTGAATTTACCTATAAAAATGTAGTATTAATGATTCCGAACCAAACCCCTAGGGTTTGGATTCAAATTATCGCTTTGATACCATTTGATTTGGGAATTTAATTTTTTTAGTGTTCATCGTTTGTTTGATTCGTACCAAACACAACCTTCTTTGGCATTGGTACCTTCTTCGGGTTAAGTGCCTTATGGTTAAGCACCAATCTCTTAATGAAAACCTTTCATGCATTTTCACGTGGAGCTTCATGCTATCATGTGGAGCCTTAGGCTCTACCAAACCTTGTTCTTTTATTTTTGACATGTGGGGCCTCATGCTCTGGAAAACTTCTATGCATTGCCCTGTAGATCTTCATGTCCTAGAAAACCATCTTGCTCTGTGGAGCTTCATGCTCTGGAAAACCTTCATATATTTCCATGTGGAGCTTCATTCTTCGGCAACCCTCTTTGTAGGTCTTGGTTTTTTGATCTAGGTAAAATTCTACATTTTTGCATTAACCATACATTTTGGTTTAGATATACCTGCCTATGGATCCAACAACACATTCTTGGTCCAAACCATATTTTCACAACTCTTTTCCAAACAACCCTTCCCTTCCTTTTTCCCCTGTGGAGCTTCATGCTCTGACAATCCTTCTCTTTTATTTTTTTTCTATAGAGCTTCATGCTCCGACAATTCTTCTATTTTCTTTTTTCCTTGTGGATCCTCATGCTCTGACAATGTTCTTTCCTTATCCAACAACGCACCCTTAGTTCCACGAACTACAACACTCTGATTTCCTCATTGCACTATGAGGATACGTAGACACAAGATTGCGAAATCTTGGCAAGCTACCTTTTTTTATTTCCTAACTACGAAGCCCTGATTTCCTCATTGCACTATGAGGATACGTAGGCACGAAGACTCCAATCCTCTGCGAGCACCCTAATTTAAAACTCTTTTCTCCCCCTTTCGCAAGTAACCTTTAGATAGTAG